GATGGATGGATGGATGGATGGATGGATGGATGGATGGATGGATGGATGGATGGATGGACATTGACAATAAGGGGACACACTGAATATGGTAAAGAACTCACAGACATGACACACCTGTTGTTCATCTGCTCATTAACTCACCTGTTGTCCCTCCTCAGATGGACTTTATGTTTAATTCCTGCTCCTCGGTCCATTACTGGTTTGTGTCTTCATGTTGGATTTGTTAATAAACTTGTTGGATCACACCACACCTGCCTGTTTACAACCTTAGGTCCTCCACGCCACAACCGGGACACTGTCCTGTTGGTCGGGACAAACGGTTCCAGAGTCTTCATGTTTTTTTCAACCTGGACCTCATACCTGTTGTGTTGGGGACGGCTGCTGATGTCCTCACAAGAGTCCTCTAGAGTCAGGACGCTCGGTGGACGATGATGAGGGTCTTTGTTACTTCCAGAGGAAACAATTCAAGAGAAAATATCAAACCTGCACCTTTCTTACTGAAGACTTACAGTTTATTAGTTTTGTTTTCAGCTACAACGTTTGGTTTGTGAAGCCTGTGCTCGTGAACTAAATGAACTTTCAACAAACTGATCCAGTTTATTGTCGTGGAGCAAGAACAATATTTGAGCAACAATCAGGTTAGACATAAAGTTCCTGCATGAGGACGTTTCTCTTGTTGTTCTGTGCCTTTAATGGACTTTATTCATCTGTTGGAAGTGTTGAATTTATTATTGTCTTTGTTTTCTTATAATGAATTTTCAGGTGATTTATTTCAAGCTGCTGTTTTATAAAAATGTCACTTTATGTAATAGGTGATTTTTTTTTTTTTTTAAATAAATAAAACACACCACACATGCAAACTGTTTGATTTAGCAGATGAACGCTTTGGATAAAATCCCAGTTTTTGTCCAGTAGTTTTTATTTCTATTCCTTTATTCTTTTTTTATTTGATGATCTGATTTTATTTTATTTTATTGCAATCTTCTGTTTTGGTTTTCCTTGATCGTGGTTTTTCTAGTTGACTGGAAAAAGGCACCGTATTCTGTCACACTTTGTGTTTAAAAACAATAAAAGACGTATCCAAAGTCTTCCGTGGTTTTACCTGACAGGTGTGTTCGTCATGTTTCCCGTCAGCTCATTGAGGCTGCAGTCGCTTCAAACTGGTTCATGAGGTCATGGCTGTTTTAACTTGACAAATAATATTTTCCTTTTTTTTATTTTACCAAAGCATTTTAATTGTTTTTGGAGAAGTTAAGCCACAGTTAGAAAAATATATATATATTTTTGTCAGCTGAGATTATTTTAATAAAACAGCAGCATGATGATTTTATGTTTTCGTTTGTTTTTATAGGAACAAAGCAGTTGATTTTTTTTATTGTTGTTCAATGTCAGCTTTTTAAAGTGTAACATTTAACTGAGATAAAAAATCAGCCAGCAGTGTAAGATTGTATTTGTTGTAAATGTTTAATATTTTGTTACGGTTTCTTTTATTTTGAAGAGAGTGTATAATAAAAGATGAAATATGTTTAATGTGTATTTTCAGATGTGTAAAGCTGAAACATAACGGGCCTCATTTTCTGTCGGAAACAACAAGAGTAAAACATGTTTGTGCTGTTTTACAGTCTAATTATCTGATGATTAACAGGTGCAGCTAAAGATGATCATTTTAATCATCTCGGTGAGTCGTTAAATCACTACACCTGAAGGAAAAACTATCCCAGAAAACGATTTGGATTCAGGTTTGTTTGTTTTTTTTAATAAAGATTATGTCTAATTAGATTAATTCTAAGTAAAATGTTCCTTTGCAAAATATAAAATAAAGCTGTTAAAGGCAGAGGTTCAGTAATTTACAGAATCCTGCATTGTGATGTCATCAGGAGACTAAAAGTCTCTCTGTGCACGTTGTCTGGTCCTCAAGAGACAAAGATGCTGTTTGGGAGTAAATGAAGATCTGCCTCGTTTGATGATGAGGATGATGAGGATGATGAGATTCTGACAGAGAATGAATTTTTTTTTTTTCTTCCTCATGTTTCCTTTCATCTCTGACCAGTTTTATGCTGAAGAGTTTAAACATTTTAAAGGATTGTTGGTGGAGATGTCATGTCAACCTTTATCTTCAGTTTAAGCTGATAAATTTATGAAGTGCATTTTTAATTAAAAATAAAAGTCATTACAATTAAGCAGATGAAACTGAGACGCTCCTAAAAAGAAAGAATATATTTATTTTCTGTTCATCATTCCTACTTGTTTTTTTTTTTTTATTCGTTTATTTTTACTCATTTATATATTTTTTTTATTTTAATTACATTTATCTCTGCGTCTGGCAACGAACGTGAGGGGCGGGACCCCACAGAGGGCTCCCAGATAAACAAAGACGACTCGGAGCTGCTGCAGTACGACGCCCAGACTCTGACTAGGGTGACACCCCCCCCCCACCCCCACCCCCCTCTCTGCTCTGTCCCCAGGGCCGGATGAAGCTCCACACAGGCCCCTGGGTTGAAACTGGGCCCCTTTGGCCCTCCTCGCTGATGTCATTCTAATTATGTTTGCAGAAACAAAAGAATCAATCAGCTCAAAGTTGGTCATTTTTCTCAAAAATTAAAAAAAAAGAAGAAAGTTTTTAATTTGTGTGTTTTTATGTTTCTTACAGTGAAGCTGGAGCTGAAACGTGCCGTTTCTAATCCAAACAACTTTGTTCAGCTTCCTTTATATTAAAAGCTGTCATTTATTTAGCTCGTCATATTTCAGATATAAATCTATATGATGATTTAGAATATTGATGAAAATCTATGTGCTTTTATGAAATGAATAGTATATTTGATTCCTGTTATGACTTAGAAATATATTTAAACAAATGTTTGGAGTTGATCTGCATGCAGACATCAGAGCAGCATTTTTTATTTTAATTTAATTTAATTTAAAAAAGAGGGTTTGAAGTCAGGCAGAGAGTTTGATGATCCTGGAAGAAGTGAAGTGATTAAACTGACCAGCAGCAGCTTGATCTCAGCGACAGCATGAAGCCTCTGTTTGACTGGAGCTGAAGCACGAGGAGGAAGATCAGCTCTGATACAAACCTTCTAAAGTCTGATTTAAATTAACATTAAAATTATCTGAGAATGTTGTGGATTTTACCACCTCAGATTATCAGTGGGAGGTTTTTAAAAATCAGATTTTATTGCTTCTGTTGGGATTAATTCATCCTCTCAGAACTGAAAATTTTTATTTAAATAAATCCTAAATGATCTGCCAACAACAATAATGATATTAATAATAACAATAATAATAATAATAATAATAATAATAATATAATAAATTGTTATGTCTGGAATAAAATGGTTTAAATTCAATATTTTATTACTTTTTTTTTTCCTTTTCTTTAGTTCTGTCATTTAAAAAAAATAAATATAAGATATTTTAGTTTGAGCAAAAAATAAAAAAAAGACATCAACTATGAATTTAAATCTAAAAAGCAAAACTTTCTGAGCAATAAATTTAAGATATTTTCATGAATATTGTCAGATTTCAAAAGAAAAAAAAACGCCTCAAGTCTTTGTTGAAACAAACTAAATGATAATAATAATAATAATAATAATAATAATAATAATAATAATAATAATAATAATAAAGTCGGTAATTATGGTAACTTTTGCAAGAAAAAGAAAAAAGAATAGAAACAAAGTGCAGCAGTTTTTGTGAATAAAGATATTTCCCTCCATGACTGCAGGAGCACGCGACTAAACCCAGCAGCAGGTGGACTCATCAGCACGAGCTCATTTAATCTGATCTATTATTCTTTCTTTATATTCTATTATTTTCTATTTTTAGTAAACTGCTCACAAAAATTATGCAGAAATTATCATACAGTTTTCATAAATATCAGAGCAGTGAGATTGTGTTTAAATAATAATAATAATAATAATAATAATAATATGTTGTAAAGGCCAGAGGAAGTCCAAATGAAAAGAAATAAAATGAATATGAGTAATTTAGATTAGAGAATTGTAGCAGATTTGAACGAGCTCTAAATATGTAACAAATAATTTTACATTTATTTATGCCCGCATTCATTAAATGCAACCAATAAGCCAAGATTTGAGTTTTTTTTATTAAATAAAAGTGCTTTACATGAAGCTGCGGGCACACACACACACACACACACAGCTGCACGAGGTTCAGAGAAAGTGTGTGTGTGTGTGTGTGAGTGAGATTCTCAGGTGCTGCTGCGTTCACGCGCTCCATCTGTTTTTAATCTGACGATCAGGGTGCGTTCAGGGACCAGGGGAGGAGACAATGTCTTCGAATGGAAACACAAAAACAGCTGATCTGGGAGCAGCGTCTGTCCAAGAACAAAAGAAGAACATTCACGGAACAACTCACGGTGGTATTTACAGGTGGACCGGGTCAGGATGAGTCCTCCGTCTCGTGCAAAGAACCAAAACCAGAAGGTCCCACAAAGTCCACGACTCCCAGAGTTCGTGTCGTTGGGAAATGAAATGTAAAAAAGAGCCATGGGGATTAGGAGCTGTCGTTCTCCGACGTGTGCGCGACCAGAGAGCCCGGTTTGTGTTTCTTCAGCAGCTGCGTGATCTTCTCATCGTCCGAGTTCGGGTCCAGAGGTTTGTTGTAGTCGTCGTCCTCCTCCTCGATGTCCGAAGTGCCTTTGAGCCTCTCCGTCTCCGAGTCCTGCTTCTTCTTGGCCGAGGCCATCTCGGCCGCGTGCTTCTTCCTCCACTTGGTCCTCCGGTTCTGGAACCACACCTGACACACACACACACACGCGCGCGCGCAGGTCATTTATGTGTTTTCATGCCGTGATGATGAAGATGATGCTGCACCTCAAATAACATTTAGGAACGAATGAAATATTTAAAAAAAAAAAAATTAATAAATTAATATTTTGGTAAAAGATTTAAAACAGACATGCAGTGTGTGTGTGTGTGTGTGTGTGTGTGTGTGTGTGTGTGTGTGTGTGTTACCTTGACCTGGCTCTCCGTCATTCCCAGTGAGTAGGCCAGTCTGGCCCTCTCGGGCCCCGCCAGGTATTTAGTTTGTTCAAAAGTCTTTTCCAGCGCAAAGATCTGTTGTCCGGAGAAGGTGGGCCGGGTGTGTTTCCTCTTCCCGTCCTTGTCCAACAGCACCGAGTTCTGATCTGCACGAGGAGAAAACTTCAGTCATGTCACTTCGAACTGCAGCTGTTAAAATAATTATCTGATTTATTGTTTGGTTTTAATTTAGTTGAGGGTTTTTTGGGAACTTACGGGGCGAACACGCAAACCTGGCGTCCCTCCAGTGACCCTGCATGACCCCGGGCCAGAAGATGGGCGTCCTCCCCGGGAGCTCCGCTAAAGGTTTGGGGTACCGGGCCACGGCCACGGCCGCCGCGCCGGGGCTGAAGTAGAGTCCGGGGGGCGGCGGGGGGCTGAGGCTGCTGAAGCGGGGCAGACCCGACAGGATCCCCGCCGAGGAGGAGGCGGCCACCACCGCCGTGCCGCCGGCGGAGGACACGCAGGGCCGGCTGAGGATGTCGTTAATCCCGTGGGGGGTGGCGGAGGAGCACTGCTGGGGGGAGCCGAGCCCCGACGTGGAGCTCTTGATGCCCGGGGAGGACGCGGCCATGCCACCCGGGTTGGGGGAGGTGGTGGCCGGGGAGGTGGAGGAGAGCGGGTAGGCCGGGTACAGGGGGGTCTTCATCTCCGTCATGCTGTGCAGAGCTGCCAGGGGAGGGGTGCTGAGGAGGAAGGCGCTCTGTCGGGACCCGTCCATCTGACCCACCGCTAACATTACCACCTCTCCGTGGGACGGGGGCACCCGGGAGGAACGGGTTCGGTGCGTCTTTGAGCGAGGGGCGCGCGCAGAGTCCGACTCAAACTCGAGCAGCAGCCGCTCCTCTCCTCAAGTCCATCTCTGTCAATCCGCGAAATCCTTCAGTGGTCCAGGAAAAGAAGACAAAAGTCCCGTCCCCGCAGCCTGGTCCTGGTTCTGGTCCGGGTCCTGGTCCGCTCGATGCGTCCTGCTCCTCGGGACAAATCCTAAACGCTGATCCTCTGCTCCCGAGCTCTGTCAGCTGCAAGTACAAACTTTCAGAGGAGGAAACGGAGCCGGGGGGTGGTGTGGTGAGGTGGTGGGCGGGGGGTGGTGGTGGTGGTGGTGGTGGGGTCTTACTGGATTGGGGACTCGATCGTGACGTAGTCCGTCCAGCTTGAGGAGAAGCTCCTGATTGGCTCCGCTCGGCTCTGATGAAGACCTGAGGGATGAAGAGCTGAGGGATGAAGAGCTGAGGGATGAAGAGCTGAGGGATGAAGAGCTGAGGGATGAAGAGCAGAAGATCCTGAAGGTAAAGGTCAGAGCGGCGCGAGACGGTTGATGATGATGATGATACATAAACAACAGAACCCAAACATTGTCTTCATCTGACCTGCAGAACTCCACAGACCTGCAGGATCCGTGAGACTCATGAGGTTTCATTTATTTATTTTATGTTGTTTGTTTTTAAGAAATCAGATTTTAGGATTTTGGTTTTTAACACGTGAGCGACTCTGAAGCATCAGTGAAACAAAAAGCTTCATTTTTTTGCTGCTGCCTGAATCAACACTCTCATCAGTGGTGCAGCTAAAAGGGCCAAGATTAGAACCCTGAGGCTTCCCGGCCCCAACATAATATCATTTTTTTAATGAATGAATGTTTCCTGAGCCTCTTCAATCAGTTTTAGTTAGTTGACTCCACTGTTTATCAGTGTTTGTTGTTGTTGTTGTTGGCTTATTTTGTTTTAAAGCCATTAAAGTAAACAACAGCTGAATGAACTGTTTTCTGTAATTATTCTCTTTTCACTTTTGTTTTGACGGCCTTAGTGTTTTATGGACGTAAACTTTATCAATTTAATATTATTCATTAAATCAATTAGTTGCATTTTTTTGTATCAAATTATAGTTTATTTATTTGTTTGTTTTTTTTACCAAAATGCAGCAGCACATTATAAAATGTTTGTGCTGCTTTAGAACATCGTTTGTTTCTGGCTGCTGATTATTTGTAATTTGACATTTTCTCTCTTTTTGCCAAACTTTGATTTTTTTTGGTTCAGTGGAACTTGGATGTGTTTGGTGCATCATGTCAGATGTTCTTGAAATATTACATTAGAGCTGAGAGCAACTCCGGGAACCTACAAGTTCGATTAGTTTTTATAGAATATGGAAAAGGCCCAAATCAAAAAAGATGCAAGCCTGCTGATAAATCATTGTGTATTTAGCCACTTTAATCTGTTTTTGTATAAAACCATACTGTTTGCAGCATTAAAATGAACATTACGAGGAACAACTTGCGTGTAATAATTAACTGTGGCACTGAAAACTGTTCAAATGTTAAACTTTGTTTCTGGCCCTCGTCTCTGTGATTCAGAGGAGCATGTTTTGTTCAAACGTGCTTTAACTCACGCTGGGATCCCATCAACGACGTGGTGAACATAGATAGCTCTGACAGGTTGTCCCTGATTTAAGGTGACACCTCCTCCTGCCTGATCTCCTCTGAGGAGGAAGCTTCTCCCTTCCCCACTCGTCATCATCTCTACCCGGGTCGTCGCCCGGCTGACTGAAAAGGAATGCGCTCAGTTGTGCAAGAAGTAAATAAAGGTCTGGCAGCAGAGGAGCAGTCCACCACACAAGAACAGTTCAGAGGGGCCTTTCAGAAAAGGCTTTGAGCTGAGTGGACGGAAAGGCAGTGAGGGTTGACCCCCCCCCCCCCCCCCACACACACACACACACACACACACACACACACACAAACAAAATGTAAGTGTTTAGAAGTGCATTTGCTCCAAAAGTTGTGAAACTTCAACTAAATTAGCTTCAAAAGGAAACAAAAATATCATTTATTTATTTGGTCCACCATTCTGTATACTTTATTACTACTTTTAATTATACACAGTCCAAATATTGTAAATTGTTTCTCTATAAATCCCTCAGCATTTATTACAGCAAAGGTGCAAATGTTTTACGATTTAAGTGTTCGTGTCCTTTTCGATGTCGTCTGAAACGCATCATTTCGCCTCACCTCCCGCAGATAAAACGCACAGTCTGCAAAATAAAACGTGATATTCCTGAAAGCAGCAGCTGAATTCTTTGACACGCAGTTTGTGTGAAATCTCTAAATGTTGCAGCAGACATCGAGTTCGAGTTTAAAAGCTTGTAGCTCAAAC